CTTTCCTGCCCGCCCTCTGCTCCTCTCAGCAGTGTACTTTGTAGATCTGCCTGTTTTGCTCCCCCCTCTGTCTCTGGTGAAGCCTCTCACCCTCCGCATCTCTGGCCTGTACCCCAGTTCTGTATGAATAAATAAATAAATCTTTAAAAAAATTAAAACCCATTTACGAGTTTTAAGAAGTATGTCTGGTATGGAGGCATCAGATGGATGTGATAAACTAGTCGAGTAGTTCTTGCCTCACACAGTACCTGCTGGCATAGCCAGATCCAGTATAAATGCAGTTAATAAAAAGAATTCAAAAAAATATTTTGTAGGCAAATCAAAAGAATTTGGAATTAGGCAGAGTACAGGGAATGGGAGAAAATGAAGTGTTCCTGCCAGTTTTCTGACTTGGACAAATTGATTTTTGGTTGTTCTATTAACTGAGACAAGCAACATAGAGAATAGGTAGAACACGGGAAGATTATATATTGGGTTTCAGATATATTGAGTTTGAAGTACTTTTGTGATATGCAGAGGATATGGATTTAGGAAGTTTTGAGGGATATATGAATCTAAATCTCAGAGGTTAATTTGGGTGGGAAATGTAATTTATGAGCCTCCTGCAGAGAGATAATAATGGAAGCTAATAATGAAAGCCATGAGTGTAGGCAAAATTATCTAGGGAGGCTGTTTTGAATGAACATGAAATGGCATTGGATCAATGATGACAGGAGAATTTGTGTCAAATGGAGATATTTATGTTAAACTACAGTTTCATTTATGGTAAAAATTCTAATAAATCAGTGTGCAAAATAAATTCAAGAAACAGAAAGAAGTGGGGAAAAGTTTATTCATGAAATTGCAATTTTTATTTCTTAAATCTGGACATTGAAATCAAGGTGACCCAATGAGAGACCTTGGCTGTGCCCTTTTCCCTTGTGGTTTGTTCGCTTGTGTTATGACCCTGGTGAGATACTTTTTATCAGTTAAGAACTCTATGCTTTCAGTAGAAAAAAAGTGATAGTGCCTTGGGGGATGATTGCCAAGCAAAGGGAGATGCAAGCTCGAGTGGTATTTGAGAGTATATTATTGCTTGATATGTGGCTGATTGATTCTGTGGCCTTGGGCGCTTGACTTGTCCATATAAGTATTTGTTTCCATACCTGAGAAGGTTTAAGCAGCTCATCTGCTGTGCCTTGCAGGGTGCTAAGTTGTACAACTACTTTGCCACCTAGACCAGATGATAAGAGAACCATCTGCCTTAAACTGAAATTGGTCTTAGCACTTCCAAGCTGTGCAAATCTGAGCAACCTAATCACTCTGTAGCTCATTTAAATAAAAAAAAAGTAGTCATTAATAGACCCTACTTTATCATAGTGCAGTGTGAGGATGTTTTTATTATTTCGTACATATGTACGTGTGTGTGTGTGTGTGTGTGTGTGTATTTTTACATCATTCTTCATTTTGTACATTTTTTCATCTTGGTTGTAATCCCTGTGTGCTTCCCACCACCACTTCACCCATGTGCCATCACCATAGTCCCATGTGCTCTTCCCACCCCAGTTTTGATCCTATTCCTCTCTCCATCCATGTAGAATGTCTCTGGTTTATTTGATTTTTGTTTTTACTTTATTACAAGTTTTTTTTCTGTTTAATAAAAGAGATTAATCCGTGTAAATCACTGAGAACAATAAGTGTTTGGTAGTTTTATTATTTTTATTTAGTGAATGCTGAATTTGAAGTCTTAATCACCACTATGCATCACAAAGTATTTATTTGTACTCTAGTGAGTATGGAATCCAGTGAAATACATTATATTTCACTTAGAAAAGTACTGCAGAACAACTCTGAAATTGGTCTTCATTGAATATACTAAAGCATTTCTCTTTTACACCTTCCCTCTAGTTCCCAGTCTGTCCAGCTTTAGTAAAAATTATAGTATAGTTCAAAAGAAGTTTTACAGTAAAACATAAAAAAAAAAAAGGACTAGTGCATTCATGAACTGTTATATTCACTTTCAATACCTAAAATTTGGGGACCTTCCTGGTTGCATGGTTGTTAAGTCTCAAAGCTCTCACTGCTCAGCCCTGTGTTGGATCCCCAGCCAGGGAGGTGACCCACATATGGTGCAGAAGACCTCACCCTTTTTATCTGGTGCTCACCCTTAGTAGTGTATTTCCCTAGATCACCTGTTCTGCTCTGCACTGTCTCCAGTGAATTCTCTCACTCCTCACACTTTTGGCCTACAGCCTGATTTTTCTATGAAAAAAAAAAAAAAATCAAAATCTGGAATTTGGCCTTAAGGTGGCTGCATGACAGACTCTGGCTTTTGATCTCTTTCTTTGTGCCTTGTTGGGTTGTACAATGCCCTGAAGGCAGAAACCTCTGCTTTCTGTAACTCACTGGGCTTTACCTCATTTCTTATGTGTTAGACCAGTTGACAAATAATGGCTTTGTAGAGGGTAGTGTATTTACCTGTCAGTGTGGAAACTATAAAGTAACAGGGGCAAACTTGTATATGTAAATACTAAGGCAATGTTTACAGTGCCCTTGTGGTATCTCTTATAATATGTAGAACACTTGGAAGGAAAGCTTGTGAGTATTAGCCAAGTTTTTTTTGCTATCAACCAAATTTTATTAGGATCGAACTTAATGCAGAATGAAATTATCATTTTTTTCAAATTTTATTATTTTAATTGTATTATATTAAAACGTTTATATTGAGTATCTGAAGTGCTCACCTTATGAAATGATTTTCTTTTTTTTTAAATGATTTTCTAAGAAAGATCTTTGAATGAAATAGAGTTGTGTCTTTCCCGTAAATGCTCTATTTTCTTTCAGAAAATTTTAATTGTGGTTAAATATATATATATGACATAAATATTATATGTTTATGTGATATATATTTGTGTTTTATATACATTATAATATAACTTTATAAGTCAGGAAGTTTCTCTTTCTGTGTGTCCTTACTTCAAATAATTTTCTGTCAAGTGAAATTAACTGTGTCCTCCCATAAGGATATTCAATGTAAAGCTTGGTATGCTCCTTTTCATAGTCTTTGTGGAACTTTCTGCAGCAATTCATTCTCAGCTGCTAAATAAGATTCTTGATTTCTTGACAAAAGTGTGATTAGAAATCAGGCACGGGATCAATATTTACATTTTCATAGAGTATGTGGCTTTACCTGTGAAGCTACATTTGCTTTGCAAAAGATCTACTCAACTCTGCTTTGACAGTGCTCCTCCACTTCATCACAGAATTTCAATGGGAAATATAAATTTTTCTGTCATTAGCTGATTCCTTATAACATCAAGAGAAACCTTCTAAAAATGTCAGCTTTGGAAATACCTAGTGAGTAAATTATATGCAGGGTACACTGAGGACTAAAATGGTCCAATATTAATGGGTTTAAAACAAGACACATTTATTATATTAATATTACATTTAACATACTATAATTATATCATATATGCCATTCTGTGTCTTCTGTATAATCTGAAACATCAATAAGCATGAGGTCACCTATAATGTAACTTTTTTTTTTAAAGATTTGTTTATTTATGCATACAGAACTGGGGTACAGGTCAGAGGCTCAGGGGGCAGTGAGAGAATTCACCAGAGATAGAGTGGGGAGCAGAACAGGCCAACTGATGAAGTACACTGCTACGAGGAGCAGCGAGTGGGTCAGGAGAGGTCTGCCATGCCATGTGGGTCACCTCCGTGGATTGAACTCATGCTGAAGTGGCTTTAGCTTCTCATTGCTGTGCCACTAGGGAGGGCCCACCTATAATGTATCTTATTGTGATTCCAATCCTAATTGTTATTCAAACTTGACTTATTTTAAAATTTTGATGAATAGAAGACTAACTTGACCAACCTCCCAATTTCTTTCTACTCCAGAGTGCTACCTAAGAAAAGTGGCAACATAAGTTATTACTTCTAGATGAAGTTAGGTTCTTTGTTGAAACATTGGGTCGTTAGACACATGACTCTAAAGAA